AGGATAAAAATACTAATCTAATTAATTACTGCATTAATTCAAGCAACAAGAAAGTTTCAACCAAACAAGAAGTGCATTATGGGTTAAAAAGAAAAACACGCAAATTTACATAAATGAATGTCAAAAGACTTGCTCATCTTTCGAAAGACACTTTGCTCAAAGCTTTCAAAAACTATCAGTATTATCAGCTTCTGAGCCTCATCAGATGCCGTGGAGAGATACCAAACCTACTGCCAGTTTTATAGCCAACTGTTTAGACAAGACAGGGCAACTGTTGACCAAAACCTTTGGCAATGTGTGTCCAACCCCGAAAGAGAATAGTTGTGACACATTTTACAGCTGAATTATCTTGGCAGTTTCAATTTCTTGCAATATATAAAAGCTAACATTACCAAGAATAAGAGTCTGAAATGTCTCGCTAGTAATTCTAAACTTGTCTTCACACTTTGCTGGTATTCTTCATCGCTAAATCCCCTGCCTAGCATACTCCACAAGCATGCACCAGGAATGTCCTCTAATATCTGACCCAAATAGCAATACTTTATGTCCTCCAAATATTAGCCCAGCAAAGCAAAATAAACCCACGTTTTTGTTATGGTCTTCAGTGTTTGTTAGTAAGTAAATCTTCAGTGAAACTGGTCTTGAAAAAATAATGATAGCCCACTAATGGGTCATAACTAAGCAATATAGCTTGTTTTAGGAAGTGACTTCTCATATGCATGCCACAGAATGTAAATGGTTATAACGAGGCCCTCACAGATATGGAAAGCCTTACTTCTTGCATTAGTACATGTATAACCCTGGCCAGTCACTTTGTGTTTAATCTCAGAGCTCCGTGAGTAATCACCTTTTGGCTATCATACACTGTATCATGAAAGGTTGTGGAAAAGTTTTACAATGTGTGAGAAATTCTTCCCCTTCAAGCACAATTTTTGGTGTCACGTATTTTATGATTCTAGTACTACCCTGAAGGTCCTCATCTGCTTTTTTTCCAAAAGTCAGTTAATCTTTATTAAAACATAACTATGTTACCAGCATTATTCTCATCCTAAATCCAAAACACAGCACTATACCAGCTACTAAGAAGAAAATTAGCTCTATCCCAGCTGAAACCAGGACAATATCCATGCCTTATTCTATGTCATCTATGTGTCACACCCAGATCCCACACTTTTCAATACATCCCAATAAATCATCACCACCTTTCCTGTCTTTTGATATATACACACAGATATCACTCCCTTAGTCTATGGGCCATCCCTCTATAATGTCCACTGAGTTCATTTAGTCCATGACTTTGGGCTCCACCTGTCATAGCATTCCTTCAGGGCAGAAGATACGGTGTGTGGTGCTGGATTGTTGTGTGCTGAGGCCAGTTCTGGGTCCATCACCACTGTACTTCCTTTGGTTTTCATCAAGCTCGTCCCTCCTTTCATGCGAAGAGTCACAGGGGGACAGGGAATGGGGGTTGCGGTCAGTTCATCACATGCTGTCTCTGCCGCTTCTTCCTCCTCAGGAGGAGGACTCCTCACACTCTTCCTCTGTTCCAGCGTGGGGTCCCTCCCACGGGAGACAGACCTCCATGAACTTCTCCAATATGAGTCCTTCCCATGGGGTGGAGTTCTTCATGAATTGCTCCAGTCTGGGTGCCTTCCATGGGTCTCTGTCCTTCAGGAACAGACTGCTCCAGCGTGGGTCCTCCACAGGGTCACAAGTCCTGCCAGCAAACCTGCTCCAGCCTGGGGTCCTCTCTCCATGAGTCCACAGGCCCTGCCCATTTTATTCCTCTGCACTTTGCCTGCAGGACAGAGGCAGGACCATCACGGGAGCACTAAGAACACAGGAGAGACTGTCTCTCTGTGCAATTTTGCAGTGGCCTGCAAGCAACTCAGAAGAGATACTACAGAGAAAAATAATCATCTCTGCACAGCTGGACTGGCTGTAGCCTCTACAGCCACAGACTTTTTTGGCTGATAGAGACTCTATCAGCTAAACTCTACCAAGTCTTTGCTGAGTGTAGACCACCACAGAGGATTTTCAGCAAGTCCACCTTAAATACACCAAGCTGCTCCAGAACGGGGTACTTGAGAGGCATATGGGGCAAAACACACGATTAACATTCTGTAAAACTCCTGTACAATTTTTGATCTAACATCTGGGACACAATTTGTTGCAACAAGGGAAGCTTGACCAAGTCTTAACTAAAAGAGCTATAAATAGAACATTAAGGCTTTGAGTAAAGATTTCTGTCAACCACAGACAAGAAACTATAGTCTGGGGGTTCCATTCAGTAAAACTTTATAGTGAATTAGATTTGAGCATTAGTAGGTACTAGCAAAGTTAAGATAATCTGGTGAGGATATCCTATTTTTTTTGCTAATAGAAGAAAATAAGAATGGAAAAATACCTCAGACTGCATTATCCCAACACTCCTAATTGCCAGTTGTGTCAAAGGGAAGCACACCAACCTCTTGTACACCTGTAAGACACGAAAACATCTTTAAGTTTACCAATCCATTGATTTGATTGAGCCATTTAAAGAAATATTTACATCTGCTCTCTCCATCTTAAGAATTAAAATGAACATTGGTTGATAGCACAAATAATTCTGCTGAGAGTATTCTAGATTAATATAATCCATGTTTTCAACTTTTTTCCCATCTTTCCACATACCTTGAAAGGGCAGACACAAACTCAGAGAAGTAGCTCCTACCCTGCTAATCCATCCTGCTGTGAAGAATACATGTACTTACTTGAGGAAGGAGAACCCATAGAAACACTTAAAGAATTTGACTCAATCCCCTAACAGTAGGCAGTCGTGCAATCAGTTTAATTTCTGAAACATTCCAGTTATACTACAATCCGTGGCTTAAGTCCTACATTTTTGTCATGCAGAAGAACTTAATATGAAGACTACCGAGCTGGGAGCCTCACAGCAAAATTCATCTCCAATACAAATACCCTTTGATCAACAGAATATGGTAATCAGAAAGTTTCTTCATGGCACTGTTAGCATAAGGTTTTGCCGGTTGTATATTGAAAACCTTTGATCAAGGCCAAGTTCCAGCAATCTATCTTGAAACATAAAGAGTAATCAGCTGAATTTCCTGCTGTGGGAAAGTGAAATTTGGCTTCCTGACTTGGAACCGAATCCTCAGACCACAGACCTCCTGATCTGCAGAATTTGCTTTGAAAGAACTCCAGATGCACAGTTGTGGCATCCCCTCTGATCTAAGCTCCCTACAGTACCAAATACATCTGCTGTCAAGAAATACCTGCCTGCTATTTGTGTATACCAGGTAGCTGACCAGCAGGTAGCTGGGTTCTATCACACGTACAGCTTGAAGGAGGCGCAAAGAGCTTGGTATGGCTTCAGTGCAAACCAGTTTTCTTCCTTTGCCCAAAACTGAAATATTTATTTACAAATTTAATTAGGTAGCCAAATACAAGTTTTTCAAAACTGTTAAATGCAATATGGTAAATGTGAAATGAAGCACCAGTCATTGTTCAGCCAACACAACACATCAGAAAAAAAATACTGATTCAGCAGTATTAAAAAAAAAAAAATCTGTGGTAAAAGTAGTCCTTTTGGAGGCAATTTATTAACCTTCTGACACCTCTCAGGGAAGTCAGCAAAGCCACCTTCTTCTTTTAGCAGGACCATAGCACTCATAGTTGAACAGCAAAAAGATCAGAAGCCCTACATAAAGCACTAAGTTTTGACTTCATCACATTTCATAAACGAAGAAAGATCAGGACAAGAATCCCTGAAGTCCATCAGATAACCAGTATAGTCCCAGTAACAAAAGCATATGGGGTATGTAGCAAGCAAATCCTGAGTAGTTACTAAGCAAATCCAGCTGTAACTGCTGCGCTACTGCGTAGGTGGTGATTTTCAGCCAAGACACACATCCTCATCACTAGTGGCCAGATTACTCCATGGCACTTTGACAAGTGTGGAGACAGTTGCACCAGTGGCTCCTCAGCATTTCAGTCATGAAAATCTTCTTTGCTAATTATCTGCTGTAATTCTAGCCAAACACAGTCCTCTTCTGCTACCCAACTGCTAGTTAGCACAGTTGTATGCTGTTTTAGCAGTTGCTGGCCTTTCAGCACACGGGACCACTGCACACTTAAGAAGGACTGAGGACAAGAAAAATAATCAGCACTTAAGTGAAGGAATGTTGTCAACATCAGGGACACTGCCATGATGTTCCACTTACTGAAATGTTCAGTCAACAGCAGTCTTGGATGTGGATATGTTTTCAGTAGGAAGAGGAAGCCAAACTCTATTATAAACAGCAAGAAGTCAATTTGTGTCTCTCCACTTTCCAATTCAAACCTATTGGAATTCCTGAAGCACAACTGGAAATATATGAGCATGTTTCATTACCAGGAATCTCATTTCCAAAAGCACTTCCCAAAATGTCATCACACAATAAAAATTTTAAGTGATACAACTGCAAGAAGTAACATAATTCAGCTATTTTCATGACTATTCTACCTCCAAAATGATTTAAACTTACTCTGGAAAGTAGGGATGATAAAGTTAAAGGAACCTCAAACTTCCAAAACCACACTGCTGTCATAAGAACATCTAAATAAATGCACAGACACTATTTTTAACAACTTTATTGGTTTAATAGATGTTGTAAAAAATTAGTCTCTGGAACATCACAAGAGCAAGAATTACACTGTAATTATATTTCGTTTACCATATTTTAGCAGAGAGGGCACAATTTGCTATTTTTTTTTTAAATAAACATCCTCAAAAACTGAAATAGATACTGATTTTAAAAAGCAGCACAATAATACTCCTTGTCTCACAGGAAGAGCCAGAAATACAAGTCTCTCGTTTTTTCTCCATTTTATTTGAACCAGAGGGTACCAGCACTATACTGATAAAGCCTATTTTTGCATTTCTACACTTCCTAACTGCAATTCTTTACAAAACATCTTCAGAATAACAGCAGTAAAACCAAAAAGATAAGAAAGTATCTGAAAGGCTCAGTGGCTTAATACTTTCAACCACAGTAAGAGATGGCTGAAACTGTAAGGGGAATTTCCATCCCACTACAAACATATGAGTCGTAAAAACAAAACCCATTCTGAGCGAGGCAGTCACGTTTTTCGTTCTTTGAAGAAGTCTGTTCCTTTCAACTCTTCTGGTAGATAGTCCTGCTCTACAGGTTCCTTGTAGTTGGGGTTATATTTATAGCCTTTACCATAGTCCAAGTTCTTCATGAGCCTTGTTGGGGCATTTCTCAGGTGCAGCGGAACAGGTGGCAGTGGTCCCGTGTGCATTCTCAGACATTCTTTGACATTGCCATATGCCCTGTATACCTCTATAGACTTTGGTGCTCTGGCAAAGTACACTACACATTGTGCTAGAATGACCTGGAAACAAGAAAAGGGAAAATGTTAAGTGACTTCTCTTCAGCTCTTTGGGAAAACGTCTGTTATTCAGTTTGTTTGTGCTTTTAAACTGACCTCTGTCTGTTACTATAGTATGATTATTATTATTTAACAACAAAGCTCTTCACAATTTTCACTACTAGAAAGGAATAGCTACTTTAAAATATCAGAATATATTATTTTATTTATAACAGAGCAAAAAAATGGATAGAGAAAAATGACTTTAGTTCACATACCACACTTAAACAATGCAGTGAATTTTATTTCAAACTACATCATCTATTTTAAGAGCTATTACGTTCTCTTATTTGTCAAAGAAAGGGCATGCTGAATGAACAAGTAACTAAATTTGCTTTGTCCTGGCAATCTCTGTTTTTTTTTTTTTATAATTACACATTGGTTTTAGTTTGCAGTACTTTCAAATCAGTGAATTAATGAAGCCTTTACCTCACATTCTGGCATTCCAATAAAGTGACAGCCTTGATAAGCAGCAACTGCTTGTGTTAAAGCCAGAGGATCTGCCAGCCCTACAAAAAGGGATCAGATAAAAGCAGGTTTAAGTCAGTTTACTTTAGTTACTGTGTCTTTTTTTATTTTATTTTTTTTCCTCAGTCCTGTAAGATGGAAGGTTATCAATGCACAGGTCAAGGTTGCTTTCTCAGATGTTGGAACTTCTGGTACAATACTTTGCAGTACATAACATATATTCCCTCCATCCACAGCCTTCCTTCTTCTGTCTACCCCTCAAAAAAAAAGGCCTAAATTGTGGGTATGATTTTCAGACTGAATCTGTTTCCACAGAGCGGCAGCCTGAGCAGTTGCTGCCCATGTATCATTCACTTACTTTTTGGAATTGAGAAAGAAATGGGGAAATATTGCTATATAGACATAGCTTCCCTAGATGTCATAACCCTTCACCCATCACATATGTGTTAAGTGTTGCTGCATCTGTTATTTTGGGTAAGTCAATCAAGATGCCTTACAACTAGAGAGCCAGCTACCAAATCTGAGATTTGCAAGTCAGGGTAGACATTCACCTTCTAGAGTCATTAAAAAAACAGACATCCCTGAAATACATGTTCTCTGTGACACAAGTTTACTGGTGACCTATAGTCACTGGAGTTTAAAAGAATCCATATTAATACACTGCCAAAACCTGACCCCCAAAATACTTGTTTCTTCTGCAATAGGTAATCGTCACAATGACACCACATGCAGGTCTCTGCATGTACAAAATTCTTGTTGGGTGGGGAGCATTTCAGTATTTCATACCTATTTTGCATATAGCAGTTTTGGGGTTGTTTTTTTTTTTCTCAACCGTGAATTTTTGGAAACCAGAAGCCTGGCAGATCTTCATTCAACAAAATATTCTAACATGAAGTACTGCAAATACTGACCTATATCTTCACTTGCAAATCTCACCAGCCTCCTTGCCACATAGAGTGGATCCTCGCCACCTTCAAGCATTCGAGCAAGCCAGTAAAGGGAAGCGTTTTCATCTGAGCCTCTCATAGACTTATGCAGGGCAGAGATGCAATTGTAATGTTCTTCTCCTATTTAGAATGGGGGAGAAGAGATACAAAAAGCTGTTAGGAGGAAATTAAGTGAAATGCATTTAAAGGAACAGAATATATTTTACTAGATCACAACAGGTAAACATAACCTGCTTTTTCAAGTTTTTTTTATGTACACGTGATTATGGTGTTCATTAATGCTTTCAAAATCTTCATGCTTTGCCACATGGATCATTCCACTAACTAGATAAGCATAACAGAGCAATGGCAGGTGAAAAGGAGGATGCTTTTTTAAACATTGTAAGGCAAACAATTTGGTTTCGGTACCCTAACAACCTTTCCTTCAAAAGAAAAAAAAATTTTGGATATTTTAAGCAGATAGGAAGAAGACTCTATAAATATCTCCTAACTGACAAAGAGTAAAAGTATGAGCACATATAAACCACTGACCATTGCTTTTGGACATGCACATAGCTCTGAGAAGACAACAGAAGAATCTGAGAAATCCAATACTCTACACTAGTGGTATTTCACTTGAAAATAAAGTGTGCAAATAAAAGTGCAAACATGAGTTTGCTGTATTATATAGGGAAATAAAGGAAATGTTGCTGTGGATATACAATGATGGCACACTACACAATCTGGAGGAAACAGGATCACAGCACACAACCCTGGCAAACCCTCAAGAAATGCTGAGTTCAGTTGTGGACAGCTGCACTACTGGAAGGGTCCTGAAAACTGTAAGCAGCTGAAACAGAAAAACCCACAAACAAAACCTGAAATGCCAGACTGCTAAATAAGGATTGGGAAAACTGAGTGAACTACAAGGAATTTTTTTTTTTAATTAAAGTTTAACATACTAGATATGGACTCCGAGGAGAAACAAAGCCATTCCACAGATCTTTTAGGGCTATAGTTAAAGACAGAGGGTCAACATTAAAAATACTAAATGAGACTCTTCCTGCTTGCAATTTTTCTCTGTGCAGCTGGTTTTGATCCTTACGCATTTCTTTTAATCAAACTTGTAAAAGTATTTTGCTGCAATATTGTTGTTATACTTTCCACATAATCTGCCTTTTTTATTTTTTAAAGTGCCTGTCATTCCTTGGCTCACAGACAGCATGTATTATAAAGGCAACTGGCTGCATGCACAGCCATCTGTTAATATGTCTCTTCTTCCTGCAGCTAAAAGGATTTACAGCCTGAGGGCCGTATCAGAACACGTCATCATCACTTGTAGGCCCTGCAAAATAAAAGGCCTGACACATGAGTTTGAAAACCAAAGTCCCATACCGCTGCAATTGCTCCTTTCATTGCCAGCAAGACCTCCACCTCCTAGGTCAGAAACTGGGTCCACCTTCCTGCATCGCTGCTCATGCTGCAGCGCGGTTCTGTGGGGAATTCAACACACGCGCTGCCGGTGTACACAGGCTGGCCGACAGCTATTTTTGCTAGGACTCCACACAAAGAGCCCTGTGGTATGCAGTCATTACTCATGCCAACACAAACAAGCGTGTCCATGCTCCGTCATAACACTTGAGCTAGTAGCAATAAACCCAAGCAGCTGAACGCGCATCGTCCTCTTGGAAGAGGCGTCTCTCCGTCTCTTAGAAGTAAGGAAGACAGCCATTAAATATCTCCAGAGGTTGCACTTGCACGGATTTTTTTCCTGGAGTGTTTTTATACACTGTTTGGGCTACTGTAAAGTATCATACTTGGGGATACCAGCTGGGGAGACAGAAGGAATCCAGCAGATAGGCTGGGACTAGAGACACGTACCTGCAGGGGACTTCAGAGTACACAGGCTGAGAAAGGGGACAGTTTTCTCTCTTCATCTCCTTCCTCACAGAGTTAAAAAAACTTCTTCAGAAAAACTGTGCAGTTGTACTTTAAATGCAGTTTCAATTAAAGGCAAGGTACAGTTACATGCACTGGACAGAGGTTTTAAGTTTCTTTTAAAAAAATACAGTTTATATATATTCTATGTGAGATATCAGCAGCAGTTAAAAAAAATCAGACAGAACTTTTTACAGACCTTTATTTGTTAGCTCTGTCTCTCAGGCTGGTTAGCCAACATATAGATTTTGGCCTTATCAATTCAGTTGAGAGACAGATACATGCCAACCTATTTATCACTGCTGTTCTGCATCCCAGATGCCTTTTGGAATCAAAACTCTAAGAGTTTTTGGAATCAAAATACATTTGCTCTATGCAGTTCCCTCAAAGGCAAATACCTTTCCGAAGAGAAACATGATATTACACAAGATGCTTTGTGGAGGACTGGATTTTGTAGTGTCCAATGTATACAGATGCATAAATCTTGTTGATTTATGCCCGTAAATTTCTTTATGTGCTCATGAAGTGTCTTCCAGCTAATTTAAGAAGTTGATTTATCTAAAGTTTTATTGGTAGAAGACAGGGAAAACACCTCATACACTGACCAGAATTAATACCTGGACTTCTTAAGCAACACCTATTCATAAGGTAGTGGGCAAAAGTAAAATCACGGTCCCCATCTCACATTATTTTCTGTCTTAGCCAAAGGTAAACATCAACTGCTCATCGATATAGGACAGAAGGAAACCTTGGAAGAAAGGCTAGAGCAACAGCAGAGATAAAAAGACTTCTCATTCTGGTCCAGCAGAAAACAATGAATCTGGCAAAAAACATTATGACATGAGAAACCTTCTCTTTCCTCCTCCATAGAAGAGGAAGGAACAACTGTGTTCTAGGTTACAGAATAGATTAACTCCAGCTTAACAATCTTTACCATAACTGAAATTATATTACCATATAGACAGTGAGACAAAATCCTGCAATAATTCTGATATTTATCTTTGTATTTGCTATTAAATCAGTGTTAGCAGAGAGACAAAATATGTAAGAGGAAGAAGAGACAATTGTGGTGGGTTGACCCTGGCTGGACTCCAGGTGCCCTATCACTCCCCTTCTCAACTGGACAGGGGGAGAGAAAATAGAACAAAGAGCTGGTTCCACCACCACTGCACTTTGCTTGGTTTCATCAAAAGTCATTCTTCATTAACTGGGGTGATTCTTACTGTTGATATGGCATATAGCAACCATAGTAGTGATGACATCCAGTTATTATATAGCAATTGACATTATACAATTCAAATTGTTGGCTATTCTCACCCAGAATGAAAACCCCTCTTGAGTTACTGTGGTGGGTTGACCCTGGCTGGACTCCAGGTGCCCACCGAAGCTGCTCTATCACTCCGCTCCTCAGCTGGACAGGGGAGAGAAAATATGAAAGCTTGTGTGTCAAGATAAGGACGGGAACAGATCATTCACCAATTACCATCATGGGCAAAACAGACTCAAGTTGGGGAAATTAATTTAATTTATTGCCAATCAAATCAGAGTAATGAGAAGTAAAATCAATCCTTAAAAACACCTTCCCCCCACCCCTCCCGTCTCCCTGGGCTCAACTTCACTCCTGATCTTTCTACCTCTTCCCCCTGAGCGGCACAGGGGGACAGGGAATGGGGGTTGTGGTCAGTTCATCACATGCTGACTCTGCTGCTCCTTCCTCCTCAGAGGAAGGACTCCTCACACTCTTCCTCTGTTCCAGCGTGGGGTTCCTCCCACAGGAGACAGACCTCCATGAACTTCTCCAACGTGAGTCCTCCCCATGGGGTGGAGTTCTTCATGAACTGCTCCAGTCTGGGTCCCTTACAGGACCTGGGTCCCTGTCCTTCAGGAACAGAGTGCTCCAGCGTGGGTCCCCCACAGGGTCACAAGTCCTGCCAGCAAACCTTCTCCAGCCTGGGCTCCTCTCTCCATGAGTCCACAGGTCCTGCCAGAAGCATGCTCCAGTGTGGGCTTCGCACAGGATCACAGCATCACTCGGGCATCCACCTACTCTGGCGTTAGGTCCTCCACGGGCTGCAGGTGGAGGTCTACTCCACCGTGGAGCTCCATGGGCTGCAGCAGAACAGCCTGCCTCACCATGGTCTTCACCACAGGCTGCAGGGGAATCTCAGCTCTGATGCTTGGAGCACCTCCTGCCCCTCCTTCTTCAGGTGACCTTGGTGACTGCAGAGTTGTTTCTCTCAAACCTCTCTCCGGCTGCAAGTTGCTGCATGCCATTTTCCACTTCCCTTCTTAAATCTGTTATCCCAGAGGCGCTACCACCACTGCTGATGGGCTCAGCCTTGGCCAGTAGCGGGTCCATCTTGGAACCAGCTGCCATTGGCTCTATCAGACATAGAGGAAGTAGTTCTAGCGGCTTCTCACAGAAGTCTCCCACTATAGCCCCCCATTACCAAAATTTTGCTGTGCAAACCCAACTCTATCTTAAAAATCAATTCACTGTCTATCTGCAGTTAGCCTTCACTTAGTTGCTGCATCATTTTCTTCAAAAATCAAAATTTAAAAAACTGCAATTAAAAGCTAAAATATGACTAGTTCACTTCCTCTCACACTGCAAGGGCTGCAGGCAGCTGCTGGCAGTGAAATTTGACTAGAGCTGTTTCTTTGTCCTTCCAGCTAAAATGCATATCTGCACAAAGACCTTGTCTTTATATGTATCTGCACACAGATCAGAACAATAGCCTAATGACTGTATTACAACTCATTTCCTTCCTAGACTACTTGGTGGAAGCACATAAAAGAATGCCCCAACTACATATATTTGGCAAATTTTGCAGAATGGGACCAAAAATAAATAGTTATGTAAAATCAAAACACCATATTTACAGAACTCTGATTGAACACTAATCAAATATTTGGTGCTTTCTACATGAACACACTACACTGAAATTTATGCTGCTGCTACCACAATTAGACAGCATCACGTCCCTCTACTTTACAAGGCTGGAGCACTTTATATTTTAGATTCCACCACAACAACTGTATTCAAAAGGTATTAGCTAAAAGATGCTACAAAAATGCCTTTATTTATACAGTAGCCTCTATCTAGAAGCCCTCTGTACATAAAGGGACAAACAGCTATCTCTCCTATGGACAAAAGTGGTCAACCAAGACACAGACTATACCACAGAAGAGAAATTTTGCAAAGGCATGTACTTGGGCAAGCTGCTATTGTGACAATATCTGTGCCAGGCTCTTTGGCATTTGTACAATCAAGAAAAACAGAACTGTCACTGCTCTCACCCCTCTCTGAAAATCTCTGACAAAAATAACCAACCAAACCCTACACAGAGCTCGAAGGTCTTCTGTCACAGAGAAGGGGCTGACGCATGCTACCTAGATTTGATGCAAGCCTCAGGAAGAGGCACTCTGTGCCATCTCTAACAGAGAAACAAGGCATAGCAGGGCTGGGAGCAACGGACACAGCCAAGAGTTCTGCGTGACAGTGGCCACAAGGCGACAGCAAACACACAAGGGACCTCCACAGCGCTAGAGACTCACACCAGTAAACTCGTCAGATTGTCTGCTTCCTCCTAATCATGACTTCTTCCTGCCACAGACCCCATAAAATTTTTCTTTTCCCTCCCCCTGCCACCCTTGACTTGTCAGCTGCCATCATATCAATATCTGCCCAGCTGACTTTTTCCTGACAATGAGCCATCATTTCCTCTTTGCAGCAAGCAGGCTGAACGCAGGCATGTACGTTACAAGCAACCTCAAGAAATGTCTCATCACAGATTTTGAGTAGTAACAGTTAATTGAGCATATCAGATACAATGGCAAAACCAAAGTCAATCACTTCTCCAAACACTGCTTGGCAGAATCATTTGATACTATATTGCACAGTGATTCAAGTATTGCTGAAGAGCTAGCATATGCATTCAAGGGGTTTCACCTAATCTCTAATATTCACTGTCTGATTTGTAACTTTCTCATGTAAAAAGTTATAGTGTCCAACTATTGCAATGCCTAACATTGCCAAGTCACACATTTAGCAAGAGTGGTTATCACATTAGGAAGCCTTAAATGCAATGAGATTTATATGACCTGCCCTAAGCAAGTTACAAAATTCATTAACCTTAAAAAGCAACTCTAAAAATAAAACTGCTTGCATTTTCACATAACATAATGTTGTGAATGTGAGAGACTTTTAAAGGAGTAGAAGTGCAATGGAAGATTTCCAATCCTCCAGGAACAATTCTCCCCATCAAAATGCTTCTCCCTCTTTACACTGCAACCCTCTTAGAAGGTAATATTCTAAAAATGTTAGCTAATATTCTAAAAATCTTAAAGAACAAATAATTTCACCATGCAACTGTTCACAGGGCAGCAATTATGCCTCTTGGCTAACCTACACTTCCTAAGTGGTAAGAGGAAATCCTGTTTAGAAGGAATTTCTACACTGTAAAGGAGAAGTAATTTTTAGCCCAAATTTTAGTACAATCACTGTTTCACCAGAGCAACTGGTATGAAATGGGGAGAAGGGACAGAAATTATACAGGCTATCAGCTCTTGAAAATGCTGCATTGTAGCAACTGTTAGAGGTACTCACCTGCTCGGTCATACAGGATGTGAGATCGCTGTAGCCCTTCCTTTACATGCTCTTCTGTTATCAGAATGCCATCTGCAGAACCGCCTTTGGCAATATTCAAAGGAGTGGTCTTTCCTGCTGCTAATCTGGCCTGAACTGCTAACTGGAGACCATTCAGTCCAGTCCTTGCATCACCGTCGCAAAGGTAGGCTAGGGTATTTAGAGCTTTCTCCTCTATGTACACCGGGAATCTGCAACACAATAACCATATACTGTTAACACCCATCATGCTCCTCTCCTTGCATATGAATGCAAGGAGATTGCATATTATGCTGGAGGTGGCATTTGTTTACAAAGTTTGAGAGGCAGCTGGGTTTAAGGATTGTTCTTAACTCATTCTGTCATGATTAAGCATTGCAGAGCCTAGGAGAACACTTGTGGGACCCGACCCAATGCATGTTAAAAGCAATTGCACATGAAAAAGGTATGGCATGAGCTCTCATCTCAACCCCCTTATTTTGTCTCATCTCATCACATTCAATGTAAACTGGGGTTAGGGTTATGCTTTACAAGGGTTTACTCCATCAGCACTTCATAGCTGGCACTTCAAATTCCTTGTTGAAAGGACAATGAAAAGGTAGGAAGCTATCCAAATGCACATGAGAGAATACAGTGAGGTATAAAGTAATTAGCATGAGGTTTTAAACTGACTACCAACAGTAAGAGCTGCTATCAGATATTCTTTTAAAAGCAACAACTGGAAGTACTGTTTGCATGGTAAAGCACATATGCATCCTACATTCTTTTTTTCAAATGGTAGCAGGTATTACAACTTAGTCACCAGGGTACAAAAAATATCTTACTAGAAAGAAAAGGCATCCCAGTGCATGCAAGTCACTGTTCTTGTCATCTACAACTCTAAGTGTGCCAGGACCATAAAAACACAAGAAAAAGGTCAAAGTCAAGATGGGAAGATATGAGAAATGCAGTAACAGATCTGCTGAGATCTCATAGTGGGTCTATGAAAAATCTGGGAAAGCAACGTCGTCCTCCAGCTCGCTCCCTCCAGGTTTTCATCTGCTGGACTGCAGTCCTCGCTGTCGAGGCACATGCAGACCAACTCGCCTCTGCACATTTCATATGTGTACTGTTGAGGATTTGACCCTCAAACTTTAGTTATATAGACAAGGTAATGGCTAAGGTCTTTTCCAGGCAGAGGGTACAACTGATTTGATTTGGAAACAGCAGCTAGTGGAGTTAAAGCACGACATAAGTGATGGCCCTAACTTAGCCATTTCTAGTAACTGGACTGAAAACCAAGAGTGACATGTATCAGTGGGGATTAACACACAGAGCTTGGCATGAAAGGCGATTTCTTATGAAGCCCTTGTGTGCCAAATAATTAAGGATTCACAACTGCCCTGCACTTCATTCACCAGAAAGATTTATTATTGTTATTACCAGTGGTGTACAGAAAGGCAATGCCAGGGTTCCCAGACACATGTACCCACTAATCTTCATTATTTGCCTCCTCTTCCTCCTTGCAAACCCACTTTGCACTTGTCACACAAAAGAAAAAGACAGTAAGCACTGGAAAAAACTTCAACAGCCAGTATTTGAGCCCTCTCATGACCACATGTGGGAGGGAAAAGTTTGCAGAGATTCAATCTTAATCCACAGCACTGCAAGTGAAGGCCAGCAAATGTCTTCTACAGACATAACTCATGCTGCAGAGAGCAGGCAGCAGGAATCACATCCTGTGGGAAAAAGAAATCTATCTATATACACATATGTATCTTGTCATATTTTTACTTCCATCTCCTTATTTCTTATGTATTTGATAGGAAAAAAAAATTAACACATACACAATGGTACTTCAAAAAAACCTGCACTTTCTCCAATGTGTATCAAACACGAGGAAGCAGAAGAATGTAACGGCACAGAGACTTATTCAGCCAAGTACCTCATGCAACAAATTCTTTGAAAATCAGGGAGCAATGTTCACCCTCAGCACTACAGATGGGCACCAGATTTTTCTATACACAATGAAAGAAGCCAGCAAAGAAAGCAAAAGCTATTTTTAAAAACACAGCAGGCACTACACACAGATGTCCTGTTGTTGGTATCTCCCATCAACAGGGAACAAAACCAAACAAGCTGCACACTGAGCAAATCCTTTGGATACATCAGCAGGGCAGACTAAAGAGAAGGTTCTACATGCAAGGACTAAGGTTTTTGCCTGCTGTTTGCACAGAACACCTGCACATGCTTGAGGCCTCTTCACACCGATACTCACAACTGCACTCAGGGACTGCAAGTGGAGGGGAAGTGTTGAGAGCACTAAAAGGCAGGTACTAAACTTGCAGGAAGAAGCTAAGAACAGTTTGTCCCAAAACGAAGTTGAGGCCTCTGAGCACTTTTGCCATTCATTTGCTAATTAGAAGCCAAGTAAGAAAGCTGAGTTGTATTCTTGTCTCTTCAGTTTCACTATAGGACTCTAAGTGCCCTGTTGACTCAACTCAAGCTATTAGTATTACAGGGATTAAAACAAATGTGCACAAGGAAGTACAGAAAATTTGATTACAAGCAAAGGTCTTGTCCACTTCCATGGTGAAATCCAAATTACAACATATTGGTAATGGAAAATCCACTCCAAATAACATATTGTGTATTAGGCTGATCCAGTCCAAGTCTGCAACAACAGCATGACATACAGGGCATGATAAAGAACAAGAATGAATGGAGAAAATTTCCAGATACAAGCTGTTTGTACAGCATATTGATGAGTATCACTGATTGGAAATAACATCATGCTTCACTTTTTCATAATCTTGGCTCCATTCACACTCAGTATTTCAAAATAATAACATTTTATACTCATAATATCTGAATTCATTTTTTTTCTTCTGAGGAATTAAAATCTTAAATTCAATTTTTTGATGATTTAACTTCACTAAGCAGGAGCCCAATTTCAAAATAAGGATGACAATTATCTCAATACCTTGGCCTCCAAAAGACACTCACTGTACTTATATTTTTAAGCCCACCCTGTCTTCCGAAGTTCCAAGTGCCCTACACCCTTCCACTTTACCTGACTTCTGCACACTCTAGAACTGCGAGGCAGAATAACTCTCATGCTTTCTGACCTCTTCCCAAGCTCCTGATCCTCTTGCAGTGGGCAATATTGTGTTTTTTTCACCTTCCAAAATTGACACTGAACACCCACTGGATGCCAATGCTCCATGTTGGTACCTTGTAACCAATAACTGGAGACAAAAATATAAACAAGCCAAAAGGGACACCCCGGGATCCATCATTCACTGAGCTGAAGATGATATACTGGCTTAAGGAATGGAAAACTACCACTACAGGATAATAAATCCTTCTTCCAATTTCTCCTTATCTCCATATTCTCAAGACAGTTTGTGCCAAGAACCAACATGATACATATGATGTTGTACAACACCGCAGCGTTTGATACGATGACAAGAGGGTGTAAGCAGCATCAGAGAGTAAGTGTAAGGAACTCCAAGCAAGGAGAACCTGTATGATGAAAGACTTAAAAATAATTGAGCAGAATGTGAGATAAAGTACCCATCGCTTCTTTCACATATAAATCAGTGATTTCTTACTTTCTCAGTGCAATTATTCTCACTACACTCACCCCTTGACAGACTGCAACGCTTTTACAGGCAAATACAGTTCTTCACCTGAAATACTGCAGTATAACATGCATTGCTCACTGCCTTACGGCATTGTCTTTGAATGTCGTCTCTCATCCCAGCAATCCTATTTCCTGCAAGGAAATTGGATGGGTGTTCCAAAAAGGGAATATTTTTCAAAAACGTATTGAACACTGAAGACCCAAAGGAAGCCCATCTTCAACATTGTGATTTACAAACCAGTGAATTCAAAACCTCCCAGTGCTTATAATACAGCCACTAACAAGCTGAACTGTATGATGTCTGGGCTTGCCAACAGGAAACTGGGGATCCTTTCATTTCCCTCAGCTGTGTGCCTTCTGTGCTATCTAACGTCAAATACATTAATCCACCATCCAGTTTGCTGTCTGATTTCAATTAGAGATACCACTCTGAGGGCAGCACTTGAATGATAAAAATAAAAAGCCAAGAAAAGAAGAATTTTATTTTCTCCATCAGTACAAGTGCACAGTACAAGTGTTGTGTATCAGTGTACAACTCGAACAGTTTGTGCTATTACTGAGACAGCATAAACTGCAGAAAGCACAAGGAAAGTTTTGGCAATATAAAGCATCTTTAACATGACTTCTCCTTACTCCTCTTCTTCATCAGTACGTTTCTCCCTTTCACATTCCCGTGTCTTTCAGCTTAATTTACTGTAGGCTTTAAGATGCACAATTTGATGGCAGTAAAGTTGATGAAAATATAACACACAGCACATCTTATTGTAAAGAAATCTAGTAACTAATATAGAAACTGTCAAAGAAGCTTTATGAGCATGATGATATAACAAAGAAAAAGATACCAAAGTAGGTAACACCTCCTGCTGGTTCTATTTCAGCTTCACAGCAAGAAAATGCCACAGCAGGATGAAAGAGAAGCCAGATGACCTAACTTTATCCAAAACTTGCTGCAATAGTGGAAGGAAGGTAAGAAAAAGACACCAAGAAAATTCAAGGAAACAAGGAAACAGATTTGGGTAGAGCACACTTTCCTTTTGATAACTGCTGCACATGCGTGGAGCGCAGAGACGATGAAACCTATTGAACCACTCAGTGATGGCTGCATTCTCACTGAGCACAGAAGATGGCTGTAGACACTAAGAATGATTCAATCTCACCTTATTCCTTAAGGAGAGACCACAAAGAATCACCCTCTTCTTCAAAATCTTGTCTAGGTCAGCCATCATGCCAGACAAGTGATATGATACAAAGACCATCTGATAAACTGAGGCCAAGCTGCACATGCAGGACTTCATACTGCACTTCTGTGGTTTGGGAAGGGAGACTTACATAGGAAACAAAAAACAAAATTCAATATACATATCTCTTGTGCCTTCTGGCTAAATTTCTGCAGCATTTTCAAAGTGGGCATGCTCCACATCTGGGGACATGGTGCCTTACAGCTCCTTTTTCTACTCTGGAACAAAGTGAACAACCAATTCAACTGGTGACACTCATTTATTCCTCAGGACAGCAAGAACACTGTTAATTGCCTGCATCTAATGATAGCCCTGCTTCATAGTGGCAGGGAGGTGAAGAGGTAAAAGACAAGACACAGCTGCTCCTGCAGAGAAGCAGGTGGAGAGGAAATGAAGGAGCAGAAATGGTATGGACAGTGAAGCAAGAAGAAGGAATTAACAAGGAGACCAAAACAAGAACCACAGTAAGGGACAGGATGGCTTATAAAAAGCCAAACTCATCAGCAACAATATGTATCAACTACAGACCAGAACCAGATAGCAGCACGAAAGACAAGACAGACTTAACACACAACTGCAACAAATGCTCCTCAATTCTGAACCCCATTTTTATTTTTAAATGCTTGGCTCCCACATTAGCCATTGGAGTAGGGCCCTCTCTCTCTCTCCATGGACAGATTTCTGAAACTGTGCTAGTCTAATAGTCTGCCTGCCAGACTTCTTTCAGTTTGATGAAGCACCACACTGTGCAGTTTAAATCATCCATAGCTAACGGAAGGTTACAGATACGGAGAGTCTAGCGAAACCCAAACCCAAACAACTGCAGCTGAAACTATGCCTTGTACTTTAATCCTGTACAGAAAGGAAAGACTCCGAACCCCAGTCAGGGTGTAGCCACAACCACAGCTGTGCCATTACATTAAGGCTGACATGCAGTACTGCCCTCTCTTCTAAAACTCACATTACTACTATATGCAAAAGCTACAAAATGAGTAAGCCATGAGGCAGGGTACCCTAAAAATAAAAAGGGAATAGCTTTCCTTCCCTGCTCTGACCTCAGCATTCAGGTTAGCAATTCTTTGTGCTTACATTCTGTGATAAAGCTAAAGGACCAAGTGGATTCCCTCTCATTTATTTCAGAGTACCTGCCCAATTACCATCGTGTCTATACACTACAAATAACCAGGAATACAGACTAGCATCAATATGAAGGAACCATAATAACTTCCATGAAAGTAGTACAGTACCAAGCATTATTCTTATTTGCCAGCTAGCCATTTCAGAAGGCAGATAACAACACTTACGGACAAATCTGGACTTTGCTTTTTCCAAAACTCTCCCAAACTTTAAAGTGACTATCTGGCTTGGACAACAAGGAGCAGAGAAAACCAAATTCTACCTTAAAACATTCTATTAACACCTCACAGCAATAGCCCCCTCTCTCCACAGCATACTATAAAACATACCATAGCACTTATCCTGCAGCTAAAGAATAGTAGTATCCTCTCTGATCTTACTAAAAAAAAATTTCTCAGAAAACAACAAACTTTTGTCAGGCACTTCCAAATTAATTTAAGAGGGGATGCCCCATCCACCACTTAATGGTAACATGATGCTTTTACAATGAGTAGCAAGAAGTAACACACATTAGGACATGACAAAGACCCAGTTATAGGCTTCCACAGCAAATCCTCAGCAGTGGAATGGATTTAAATGTCCTGGGAGGGTGAGTCAGGAGCTACAGTTCCAAGTATAAAATCCTCTCTCCTAATCCAGACGGTGAGATTGTGTTTTGGATGGAGAGAGCCAGTGCTTTAAATTCTCTCTCTCCTGTCACCCCCCGCCCCTCACATATGCTGCCACTTCTTTTCTTTACTATCAGAGGTGGCTAGGGTTTCTCTTCCCACCCCCCGACTGCTTCATTCCCTCCCTGGCAGGCAGTCAATTCCTCGGCTGTGTGCGTTAACACCCTGCAGCCCATAAAGTACTCACTCCGAGCTCTCACTGCTGCTGCCCGTCACAGAGCTGCCATGCTGGTCGTCCTGGCCCAAAACCTGGACCCCTAAAAACTGGACGGCCCGCATCAGAATTGCCTCCATCGCTTCAACCGAGAGCTTCTCCAGGACGATCACCCGACATCGGCTCAGAAGAGCGGCATTTACTTGGAAGGAAGGGTTTTCTGTGGTTGCTCCTATCAGGGTCACCACCCCACACTCAACGTGAGGAAGGAAAGTGTCCTGAGGATGGGAGGGAAGCAGAAAAAACTGATCTCGATCAATGACAACCTGAAACATCCCATGTGAGTAGGCTACTTTTTTTGTGTCTTCTGAGTCTTTGGGTTCCCTGTCCATATAACCTCACTGACAAGGCAGCTCATCTGCTTAGCTATCTAAATTATTTAATTTCACACACACAGCACGTCATGGGCTGTTTACCTTAATACCTTATGCTTGCACTGAAAATGACCCTACCAGCTGAAAAGAAACAGTGTCAAAAAACTGCAAATTTTTAGTTTATTTGACTTTGGTTTATTGTTTGGCAAACATATCATGAAATTGCCTTATCAAGTATAATAAATAGTGGGGCTACTTCTAAATACTCTTTGAACCAATCTTTAGGGTTGCAGTTCCCTACATAATTCTACAGGATAGCTCAGAAAGCTTTAGGAAGACTGGAGTATGGTTTGATATAGAAACCGCAACCTGTAGTACATAATTCACACCTTTCACGGTATGACTGTGGTCTCTTTTTTATTTTAATGATACTATGGTCTCTTTTCTCGCAGAGAAGAGAGGACAACATTAAACCAAACAAACACCCTAGGTACATCCCCATTCCAGACCTTTGTAAAGGTAATGCAAAATACCTCCCCAGGGAGGAGGCTGAAATGAAGAAGATGTGTATGGCAAACACTACTAACATGACTTTGCAGAAATAAAAGTTCAGAAAAATGTCACATAAAGCCCAGCACATAAGTCAACTATAATTATAGCTCAGACTTTTATGTAAATCTTTGAATCACAATAATTAAACATTGATTGGAAGTTAGTTATGGAACTTAATTTTTGTATTTTTCCCTAATTAATCTACTAAAAACATTAACATCAAAATCAAAAGCCCAAAGTAAGCTATCATCTTAAGGCAAAGGGGGGAATTTTACGGAAGTGCTGACAAAGACTTTTTCCAAAAAGCGGTATAGTACAATACCTGCTGAGATTTATTGAAACGATGGATCTCATCAATAAAGAGGATAGTTTTTCTCTTGAAGAGTCTTTTTTCATTCTGGGCTTGACTGATGACATCTCGAACATCATTTGTCTTGGCACTTGTGGCCGACAGTGTCACAAACCTTGTGCCATTCTTTCTGCTGCTGTTGGCTATGATGTGTGCCAGAGTAGTCTGAAACGGCAATAGGTGAAAGCTTTGTAAAAATTGCTTTGGGCACAGAAATTACTCATTTGAAGAAAATGCGTAAAGAACAAAGCTATATATTCTGGACATAGGGACAGTGTTGACAGTTTACAGAGTAAGGTATTTTAGTTCATGCTATTCCAGCACACAGAAGACTTAAAAACTTCCTGCTAGAGGTAAGCTGCCAATTCCACTGCTGCATTTCTAATGCCTGCACTTTTACGTACCAGACCTATTCAGTCGCAATACTGAAAAGGCCAGCAGTGACAGCTGTCTCCTTTACCACGGAAGAACTCTTTGCCAAATACATTTCTGTCACAGAAGACCGACTGACTGCAATTCGCTGTGCAGTTATTTTGTAGAGTATGTTAATGGATAAAGAGCTGGGCTACCCAGAGACACCTGCAGGAGAATTTACAGTGCAGCCACATTTAAGAAATAAAAAGCTACAATGTTGTTAATTAAAGCCTATTCTATTTCCACTGCACATAAAAATGACATTAATCAGAAAGCAGTTCTCTACAAAAGCATGAGAATGTTAGTACTGAAAAAATATATGTATACTTAAGAAAATGCAACACTCTAAATAGTCAATAGTAATCAAATGCTAGCCTAGGGAATTAAAAGACAGCTGACTGAACAAACCCTTCAGGCGGTTTTAGTAAGCAGCTGTGTTGTTTTCCTTTCCTTATAGACAACTCCTTCAAATCAAAATTTATTTATAGGGAATTTCACTGAGCCTACCAAAGCACAGAAGCAACCTCCAGTACTACCTCCCAGGCAGATTCACTACACTTGAACATATCACAGGCATAATTTTCATGCTTTCCTTCACAACCCTTAGTAAAGGCAGGTGTATCTGTATGTCCCAAGCAGAGTGTATCTCTATTCGAACGTACTGCTAAACAGGTGATTCTTCCATCGAGCTCATTCTTCTATAAAGAAGGAGCCCAAGGAGACTGAAGACAGGAGAGCCTCAGCAGATGAGGAGTGGGACAGGTGCCGACAAACCACTTCAGAAGATATTCCAAGTACTGAGGTTATAGCAGCAGGTGCTGCCAACCTGATCCTCTTGCAGGGAGGCTGCAGAAGCAACCATCTACCACACAGCTACCAGTGGTGTTGGCAGGACCTCATTCACTGCCCTAACAGCACTGCTCTGTCTTTTTAATAGAGCTCCTAGTCCCTGAAATGGCAACCAGCCCAAGATGGGGAAGGGGAGGATGTATCACTATTTATTCTTGCTTTAGTTTTAGTAAAGGCTTCCTGATTGTCTTCAGAAGAGGTGTCATTTCACATCCTGACACAAGACTCGCATCCCCTGTCAGATTCTCTTATCCCCCGGAGCTCAAAGCACCAGCCCTTCCTCTCCTTGTATCACTGTGGAAGACAAGACTGGAAAGGTACACTGGAAAGTTCTTGAGGCAAAGCCTGCAGAAATCAGGAAGATCTGGGAAACCAAAAAACAGAAGTGAACCTATCTTTGAAACTAAGCTAACAAAATAAAACCAAACTTGGTGTTTCCTTACAAAAGGGCCTTGATTCAGAACGTACCTTCAGAGAATGTACCCATGCCTTAAAAATCACTGAAAGCATGGAAACCTCCAATACATCAAATTTGAGGATGAAAAAGGAGAAATGTACATCTTCTCTAAAAGTGGCAGTGGGGACGTGGGGTGGAAAAGGGGGGGAAAAATCAAGTGGCTATTCTTCTTGTAGCTCCACTTGAACTGGTAGTTCATACTGCATCCTAGCCCTTATTCACTAGGTCACAGATAGTTTTGTTGTTTAAAAAAAAAAAAAAAGCAGCAAGGAATTGTTTTTAAACACATGCACAGGAATCCATATTTCTACTCAAACTAATTTAAGGGGGGAAAAAATAAAAAGAGACTTGATTTAAAGTTACTATTAGACAAAGAATCTCCTTGAAAACTGCTGCACAGCTCTCAGCCACCATGTACCTCTCCCACTCTGCCAGCTTCTGGGTCAACAAAGGTTGTAATAAGAATAACATACATTGCCTTTCAAAAGTAGTGCTTGACATGGACAGGCCTGTTCATGGCCCCTTCCTTCTGTTCTACACAATCAATCACTCAGCAAGTCATGCTGCCTATCACATACAGGTTGAACTTTCCCCATTCCTCTGAAAGCCTATTATTTCCCATGAGCTCAATTTTTCATGCTGCTTTTTGTCCTACCATCTCAAGCAAAAGTCAGTAACACGCTACACTGTTTTTTCCCTCTTTGTTACTATCAGGTTACAACCTAGGGAACATAAACCCAGGGGAGACTTAAGCAGGGGAGCGGAAGTATGAAGCCACTAGCACAGAATAACTGCGACTAGTCTGCTAAACTAGTTTCTCTGACAAAATTCAGGGGCAAGGTATTTGAAAGATAAGAAGAAAATTAAAAATCTGTTATGGAACAAGGCAGAAGAAAACGCACTGAATATCCTTCATTATCTGAAATAAATTTTGAAGTACGTTTGATTGTTACATTAGAAAAAAAGTCTTTTAAAACAGTGACACTGGTGTTGCAATTTAATATGAATCAGTATGTCCGTATCAGAACCAATGTAACACGCAGGAAGAGGAAATCTAAACAAGTTGATATTCTACTTCTTTTATTATACAGGTGTTTCTTCTTTAGATCATGTTTTTTCCTTATAGGGAGGAGCAGAAGTATTGTTTCCCGTAAATTAAGTGGTATTCATATCAATGAGAACAGGAGTGATCCTGCAAACTAACCTTTTGCTGACTTCACTGAAAATTACACCTTACAAAGCTCAGAGTGTCATGGCCTTGCCCCTTCCAGAAATCATTCTCAGTTCTCTTCCATTATCCCACCAAACTGTCCAAACTCGCACCTATCATCTCATGTTTTATGCTTTAAATTGCAAGACCTTACTGACTTACCTGTGTAGACAGGCTAAAAAAGTGCCATCGTAAAGAGCCATTCTGAAACATGGCAACATATCCACCACGAAACTCATGAACCATTACTCACCGATGAATAACACATTCCACTTGAGCCTGTGGTCACTTATTTCCAGATCCATTACGCACACAACAAACACTTAACTGGCAAAACTCTCCTCCACTGTCCTGAAAATTTCTTTATGTCAGCCCAAATAAGAATATCCTTTCCTAAAGGCTGCAACCATCCGAGATTTACAAAAACTGCTGAA